GTGTTCGCTGGTGAAACTGTATAACTGCTCACTAGTGTTTTAGCATTCTACATATTTTTTATTACCCAAACTACCTTCCTAAATACTTGAATAATTGTGAGAAAAAGAGAAAGAGGGCTCACATCGACTGCTAGCCAATATCTGCTAACAAAACAGACTAGTTGCAGCAGGCGAGAAAAATTTGACTGCTTTTCTTCTCATTATTTAAGATTCTTAAAATCTTGTCACATATTTGTATTATTCTGTATATTAATCCTAATTTTTTTCCTTTATTATTTGTTCGACTTTATCAGCCAAACCAATCCTGACCTCCATCAATCTGATTGTATTACTATCCATCATTTGCAGAAGTTTAACAGCCGAAGCTTAAAACTTCCTAAATTTTTGTTTGTTGTTGTTGTTTTACTCGCGGAGAATGGTTTTGGTTGACTTTCACAACTGTACTGATTATTCAATGAACGATTCAATGTTATCACATAAAATCGAAGGTCCGGTACTTCTACAAAGTAATCCGAACAGTTATAAGTCAATGTATCTGTCAAGGCCGATACGCCCATCACCAAAAAGAATCTTGTTGGCCCGACGATCCTATTCTACATCATGTTGTCCAGTAAATTTTTTTTACTTTCTTTTGTTTGCTTCTGTTTACTCTTCTTTATCTCATCTTTTGGTTATTTCAAAGATCACAAAAAAAGACTTCTGTTTTTGCCCAAACAGATTTCTTCATCTATGTCTTCGTACGCTTAGGAAAATATACATAGATACGAAGAGCCTAAAAAAAATAAGCGTACAACATAGTTGAAAACCTTACTTAACTAGTATTTTATTGTTTTCAAAGCTTTTGATAAATTTTTCTTTTTATTTCAACTCCTCGTTCAGCTTAATTCCGTTCTTTTCCTTCTTTTTTCATCTGCCTATTAACTTCTCCGCCGTCTATGATTTTTCTCTCTGTGTTTGGTTCATTACAATAAAGCCCTTATTTTGACTACAGCTGCTAATCGTTGAGATACTGCAGTTTCGTGCAATAGTTTTTTTTTTTCATTAATTTCTTTTTGCCTTTTAATTTTATTGTTTGCTAAGGTTTCGACTGGGAAAAATTGATTAAAATTATTTCTTTATTCTGTCTTCTCTGTGCTTATTTTAGTTTTGCTACGTTAATTCTCTACTTTTTTCTTCCAATTTTGGCACAAAACAAAAAAAAAGTTTTCCCTTCTTTCCGTTCTCCTTCGCTGAATTTTTTTTGCTTAACAAGACTTCTTCACAATTAGTATTTTTTATTGGATCTCAGATGTCACTTTTCAGCTGACTATTTTAGGAACAAAGAGTTGATGAGCCTGAAAAAAAAATTTTTTTTTTACAGTCTAAAATTAACGGGATATTTAGACATTGTTTATCACTGATACTGAAAAGTTTTTTGTCTGATTAAACTCCATTTTGCTCTATAGTAGCATAATATCTACGGAAGTGACAGCGGAACAGCATTAAAGTCAAGCATACCATGCCAAAAATGAATTTTGTTTTAAGGTTACACACAGACGGACAAAAGAAAACTTAAAAAAAATCTAGTTTAAAACTTCTAAAAATTTTGGTTGAAGATGTCCAAAAAGTTTTAAAAATTAAATATAAGACTTTCGATAAAATGTGCTTTTCCTTCTTTACATCTCTGATCTTTCCTTTCTTTGAAGGCGTCTCATCCCCCAATGTCATTCGTCCTGTCCTCGACACCTCCCCCTCCCCACCTTTCCCTTGCTTTTTGTCACGGCTGCAAAACGGTATCATTGTACAAAGCTATAAACGTATGCCAGTGTATTGTTGTTTAACATATAAAAATAGCTATGGTGTGTTGTCTTTCTAAGTACTCTGTTGATTTTGACATTACGGAAGCAAACAGTAGACAGTTGGACTTCGGTCGGGTATCAATAGGTTTCCTCATAAAAATACGCAACCTTTGTGCTCATCGCATCCGATATACTTGACATAGGTATACAACAATTTTAATAAAATGAAAACCGTTAGGGTCGGTTTAGAGATTTTTAACTATTTGACAATTAAGTTACCTTTTACAAGAAAAAGAAAGTAAGATAATTACAGGTAGATAAATCTGTTAAAATTGAAATCAGAATTGAATGTTGGCTGCTCTTTTCTTGTTCTGGTTTTTTTTTTTTTTTTTTTTTTTTTTTTTTTTTTTTTTTTAGCATTAGTAAAATACTTTATTAAATGGTTGCATGAAGAGAAAAACACTAACACTGCAGTAAAAATCGGACAAAATAATAAGAACAAGAACAAATAACTATGAGCAGTGAATTTTGTTTGAGCGTATACTGCTGAAAAGCGCACAAAAGGCAGCAGAAAAGAGTTAGTGCTGTTGTAACCAGCAGAACTGCATAACGAATTATGGGAATCGGTTTATTTACTTCACCATCATTTGTTCGATGGTTTGTTCTCTCCTGGTCTTTAATACTTACAAATTCAATTTTTTTTTTCGCAATTTCTACCATCAACTTTCGCATAATTTTTTTTTTTTTTGTCCACGTTTCTTCACCTATGTCTTCAAGATCAAAGGAAAAAAAAAATAGCGGGTGGAAAAGGAAGTAGAAAAAAAGAATAATGGAAACGGGATCAATACCGGATGTTTAATGGGCATTAATCAAAAGCTTTGTGCTAAGTTTAGAAGACTGGTACCATCGTATCTTACTTTTTCGCTACTGGTCTTCTGCCGCTCAACTTCTTTGCCAAAAATTCTGCCGACTTGAAGCCACTTAGCGAATCGTTTTTTACCTGTATTTTCTTTACCCTTCCATACCT